AAGAGTTAAGGCAATCTTGCAACGATACCAAATAGCAAAAACGAAGAACGAATAGATCATCAATAACATCTATGAAAAAAAGCACCTCCCACCAGTTGAAGGAGGGAATACTTGTATCTTAGTTAGAATGAGCACCTTCCAGTCTGAGTACTTCCATTAATTAAGATTTTACTTTGCCTCTTGTTTATTTTCTTTTTCACAAAATAGTTACATTAAGATGTTCGCGGTGAATGAAAAAAAGTGACTTGGCGACCATGAGATCCAAATGTCATTTTATCACGTTGTATTGTCTGTTGCTAAACGAGATAGTTTGCAAGACAAAGTATAGTGTTTCCATACAAATCTCAGGGAATTAAAGCAGTGTAGTCATTCAGTTTTTCATACGACGGACAGAACAGCGGTTAACATTTGTGTCGCACTTAGATCAGCAAGAGGTAAGGCTTTTTTACAAGTTAGTAGCAATTCAAAAGTAGAAGAAATAGACCATCAGCAAAAATTTTGTATTATCTGAAAAACCTCTCTAAAAGCGGCCTACCGAACAGTATATTTTGATGAATTTGGATGCTGGTTATATATATCTAGAAATATTTAGTTCGTATTTAACAATACACTTTAAAATACACCAAAACCCAAAAGTCCAGTGGCGCTTTACAACGCCTAAGAAAAAAGATAAACAACATAATGATAAAAATCTGAAAATTAGGCTGTATAACAAAAGGATAATTGTTCATGCTACTTCATGGTGTTATTAAAAGAGATTTAAAGAGTCCAACGACTTTGCTAGTCTGATCTTCTCTGGTAACCTGTGCACTGTATTAGGAAGCAACATAGAAAGCCCATTGCCCACAGTTCCGTCTAATTCATATTTATGAACTATTTTTATTGCTTACTTTTCTATCGTTTGCTTTTAAGTCAAATAAAACCATTCTATACTAACATCCCATCCCATCCCATCCCATCCCACCCCACCCGGTTACCACCAGGGTGGGGAGGTGTTGGATGGAGCCCTTTCCCTGGGTTTTCGTTGTAATGAGGCTGTCTTACGTCTTACGTAATAAGACTGTCTTGTACCGAGACTGTCTTACGTCGCCTCAGCCTACTCTAAAAGATAACGTGACATCTAGTTTTCGGTGTGCATATTGGTCATGACGTCACCTAACGTCAAATTAACGACCTCATTAATTCCGTAAGTCTTGGATCCGATCTCTAGGAGCTAACTGTTTCCTCAGAAAGTCAGACGATAACGGAGTTGATTAGAGATTAACAAAGATTAATAAGATAAATGTGAAAAAGAATTAATGCTGTCATATATGTAAAGTACGATGAGGAAAATGACGTCATCGATTTCATATGCCAGCATCGACATGAGGATTTTCAATACACTAGGTTACGTAAAGTTAATTATTGTAAAAATAGTCAAAGGTAAGTTGGGAAGACTTAGGATGACATTGTAACGATATTGAAAGAAACCCAAATAGGAAACCTCACTATAACAAGGACATTAACGTTTACAAATGATAATTTCGGTTATAAGTAAGTATTCCTGAGTAGCTGACAGAGGTTTTAAAAGCTCGCCAGTATGAGCCACGTATTCATATGGCCATACTCCACAATAATCCACAGTTACGTTGCTAATGTACTTTTATTGCACCTTTGTCTTCTAGTGGAATGGCAACAGAAGGGATGCTACAAGAGGCCAAGGAACAAGGTTTTCAAAAGACTATCGCCGTTTTTCAGGAAGAAGAAGATAAGATCTCTACTCAAGAAAAAGGATTTTGCAGGAATTTTCCACTTGTGCAAAACTGCAGCAGCCAAAAAAAAAAACGGCCTAGACGTCAGCGTTATTGGAATAAGGGTAACCAGTCAAACCTGTGACTAAGACTGTAGACTTGTACTGTGATTGTCTTTTTTGCGCCAATTCTGTTAAAACCAATTCGCTTGAAACTTCCTTACACCACGTAGATAAGATCTGAAATGTTTCCGTGGCACACATTGATCCAGTTAGAGCTTAACAGTCTCGTGCGATGGATCATGGACGATAAGAAACCAACTAAAATTGCAAACAAAAGCGTTGACACACTTAAGCTCCAGCAAATTAAGCGATTTTTAATGAGAACCTTATTCCCTTAAGGGGGCTCAAAACAGTAATATTTCCGTGAGGCGCCTGGGCTGTAGCGCGCAGTTCAGCGCGGTTCAGCGCGGTTCAGCGCGATTCAGCGCGAGG